AATTCACATGATGATCATTTGCAGATCACTTTACTGCGTCACACTTCTAGTTTTCTAAAGATCATTTGGGTTACACCCTCCCCTCTTTAATTTTCTTCCTCCGGAAGAAACTCTTCAATGACGACCCATGGTTCAAGCGTTTCCTCGTAATACATCTTAAGCCTATTCCCATGTACTGAATTCTTCAATAACTTTCCTTCAAGAGTTCGCAGCTTATAGTTACTTTTCTCATAAACTTCATGGATAAAGTACGGTCCTATCCATTTTGCGTCTAATTTTGCTGAAAAGTTATTTTCTAAATGTGTTTGGTGCAACAGGACTTTGTTTCCAATCTTGAATTTCTCAGATACATTTTTCTGTTTTCGCTTTGCCTGTTGTATCTTGATTCGCTGTTGTACCTCATAAGCATCATTATTTTCCATGATTTCCTGAGTTCGTTTAAGCAATGCATCTTTTTCTTCCTTATTGTAGGTTACTACTTTTAGATCTATTGGCAAGGTTGCTTGTCTTCCATATAGCAGCTGAAAAGGGGTGAATCCTGTAGATTCATGTTTCTTGGTTCGGTAGGCCAATAGTACTGCTTCAATACATTGATCCCATTCCTTTTCTTCAGAGAGTTTCGCCAAACATTCACCTATAGTTCTGTTGAATCTTTCTACCATTCCATTCGTTTGAGGCCTATACGGTGAGGTCAATCGATGTTTGGTTTGCCAATCCTTGCATAGCTCATTTACCCACTGGTTGTTGAATTCAGTACCTCTATCCGTCAAGATGATTTCCGGTACTCCATGTCTACAAATTATTTCTTTGAATATGAATTCGGCTACGTCAGTAGCTTTTGCTTGCTTCAAGGGTTTCGCTTCAGGCCACTTAGTAAGATAATCCATAGCTACTATGAGATATCTGTTTCCATTTGTTGTTACTGGCAGAGGTCCTTTTATATCTATACCAATTCGGTTAAAAGGTCCCTTCACCGGTATTGGGTGAGGTTCTTCTGTCCTTTTGGGCTTTCCTCTTCTTTGGCACGTATCACAATGTTGAATGTATTTCCTAACACTTTCATACATCTGTGGCCAATAGTACCTTTCTTTCAATTTTTCATAGGTTGCTTCTATTCCGAGATGTACTCTGGTAAGATCCTTATGCAGATTGAATAATATCAATTCAGTTTGTTCAGGTAATATAACTCATTGGGGTTGTCCATTTTTGTGTCATTTGAATAATGTTGTTCCGTTGTAAAATACTTGTTGGATTGTTTTCTAATTTGGGATTTCTGTTGTTCATTTGCCTTTTTTGGATATGTGAGGGTTGTTAAATATTTGAATATATCATTGTATTCTCCCTTATTCATTTCTTACGATGATTGGTTGTTGAGGATATTTGTATCGGCATTCTGGATAATGCGTCGGGTACTGAGTTATATTTTCTTTTCTTATAAATGATCTCATAATTATAGTCTTGCAAAATCATTCTCCATCTGGAATGTCATCCATTTGTACTTTGGTTGTTATTTAATAACCATACGAGTACGCTATGATCAGTATAAATCTTAAATTTCCTTCCATGTAAATAATGTCTAAACTTTTCTAAGGCTCATATTACAGCGAGGGCTTCCAGATTTGTAGTGTCATAGTTTTGCTCATGTTTGTGTAGAGTTCTACTATCATAAGCAATAGGATGTTCCTTTTCTTGTTCATCCTTCTGTGATAATACTGCTCCCACTGCTATTTTTGATGCATCAGTTGTAAGGATGAATTCTTTATCC